AAATATACGTTTAAAAGAAAATTTGTTCGGTAACCCTTTTTATTTTTTAATTAATTGTTTTCTTGATTCTGTACAATAAAGATCAAGATTTGATGTGAAAACTCTTAATTAGTGTGTACTGGGACTAGAGTCCTGCACGGGTTCCACTTTGTGAACCCGCACCCGACCCGACAAGTTGCTAGATGCCCGAGCCCGACCCGACATAAAGAAGTTTAACCCGTGCCCGACCCGACCCGAGAAAGTGTAAACCCGAACCCGACCCGACCCGACAAATTTTGACCCCAAACCCGACCCGACCCGATTCAAGGAATTATATAAAAATTGTTTTTTTTTGCAACAAAAAGATCACTTTATTTCAAATATTGAGCAAAATAAAACAATACAAAATTTTTTGAAAATAAGAAATACGCATGAAAATCTATCTTCATACAAAAAAAAACAATCGAGTATATCATAATGTTCAAGTCTGAGAAGAAACTTTAAGAATAGTTACAACAAATGATCGACGTCAAAATAAAGTTCATAGAAAAATATAAGCATAAATTATGAAATTTATATAAAAAAAAATCAAAAGTTTCGTAAAAAGAGAAGTGAATCAAGTGATTCAGGTGATAACTGTTGACGTCGAGCTTCAAGAATTCGACCTGTTTTGCTAAATACTCTTTCCGATGCTGCAGAGCTAGCAGGTATTGCTAGAAGTGAGCAAGCTAGCTGAGACAACCTAAGAAAATTGAAGTGAAATTATTGAGTCTATTTTTCTTGTGTATATAAGAATAATTAAGATAAAAATAGGTTACTAACTTTTTGAATCTAAAACTATTGTTTTGCCACCATTGTAATAGCGATTGACCCTTAGGATATGATATCTTAGTTTTTATATAATCATTCACTTCGTCAATAGGTTCATTGTCATCGTCTGATGATGTTTCTAATGAGCCATTAAACGATTTAAGAACGTCATGCACTGCATCACATTTAATACGTTTTTTAGAAATGTATATAACAGGTTCTTCCATTGAGTCGTGATTTTCTATGCCAAGAGTCTTCAAAAGATTTCGTACACTTTTAATTACAGAATTTCGTTCTGACTTTGATAAACTCTAAAATATATCGGTATAGTAAATAAAATAAAATAATAAAATAACTTACGGAGAGCGACTTTGTTTCAGGACACAAGAAAGTTGCAATGTAATGTAATTCACTAAGCCAAATTTTTTCGTCTATATTTGACAATAAACTACGTTTTATTTGTTTTATTGGTACTGTATCCGAAGGATTAATTTCACACACTTGCTTAAATTTCTTCACGAATGGAAGAACCAAGTGCAGAGTAGATTCTTTCTCTGCTGATAGAATTTCACTGCCATTTTTAAATGGTTCAAGTAAGATAATAAGATCACGAACTAGATGAATATCGAGATCATCCACCAGATGTTCTTCTTTCCTTTCAGCAAGAACAGCCAAAATTTCGTTATAAACCTTGTCGACCGAGTTCAGCATTTCTACAATACTATTCCATCTTGTATCAACATCTTTTTTCAGTGAAGTTGTTAGTTTGTTTTGCAATTCACACTTTTTAAAGTGTGTTACCAAACTTTGACAAGAGCCAACTGTATTAACTAATTGTTCACATACAGGAATACTTTGCTGTACGGCAAGGTTAATACAATGACATACACATCTCAGATGTGCATCACATTCTAACGCCTTTACCATGTTGGACCCATTGTCTGTTACAAATACTATATGGCATAAATCAACATTAATACCATGCATCGACAAAGTGTCGTATATCAATTTCTTTGTGTTTTCTAAAATAAAAAAAAAACCACGGAGTTTAATATTTGAGCCTTTAAGTTTAAATATTCAATTTGAAACATAATTTCGAAGGCTGCCAACTTTTATTAGTAAGTGTTTACCTCTTTTCTAGGATTATCTGGTAGTTCGTGATTTAAAAAAAATAAAAAAATGATAGTTGTGATTGGAACTAACCTCCAGTTTTCGATATTGTTACGTGAATCGTTTTAAGCATAATAGATTCAATTTTACCATTCAGATGATAATGAAGAGTTATTGTAAAGTACGAATCAGAGGTGAAGGAATTTTTCCAATAATCACCAGTTACACCAATCATCTTGACATTTTTCATATGTTGAGAAAGATTTGAAATAAATGTTTTTCGAGATTCTAGAGAAAATTTACATCTGTAAGGCATTGTTAGATAAAAAAAAGTCGTTCATACCTTCAGCTAATACTTGTACTCTACGTGAAATTGTCGTTGGATCAGGAATAATTGATGAAATGTCAATAGGTTTTGAAATTTTTCGTCCGACATCAATAAGTGTATGGCATAATAATTCAAAACCTTTACCTGAGACCATCTCGTAAGGTCTCATATCATAACTACACATTTTAGCACATGCATCACCGATAAGTCGTTTAATACCTGATGGAATATGATCTTTTTTTGTCCACATATTCTCGATGGTGTTGTTCGATGAAACATCAGTAACTTTACATGAAGATGCATGATTTTTAAGCGTACTTGAGCCGGTAATTTTAGGTTCATATGCAAGTATTTGCTTGCATCGCACACATTGTACATAATTAATGATTTCATCATTAGTGTCTTTTATACGATTAAAATTATTCCACCATGTAGCATTTGATTTAGGTTTGTCCAATATCGTATATTCGCCATTTTGAATAGACTTTTGAATATTTTCTTTTGAACTCATTTTTTAACGACAATAACAACAAAATTTAAAATATGAAAAGAGCTATTTATTTTATTTTATGAACTAAAACATATCGCATGTATTCTTACATTGTTTTGAACACAACCAATAGAGTTCTATTTTACTGTTTCATTCTTTCTGTATATGTAACATAGTAAAAGGTAGATGGCAGGAACATATGTTATGAAAAATAGTACCCGACAAAAACCCGACAAATTTTTCAATCAAACCCGAGCCCGACCCGGCCCGACAGAGTGTAAACCCGACCCGACCCGACCCGACAGAGTGTGAACCCGCACCCGCCCGCGGGTCGGGTCGGGTATCGGGTCGGGTCGGGTCGGGTCGGGTTGCAGTACTCTAGTCTCAAGTTGTTGTTTATTACGCTAGAAAGCGGTCTTTGAGAGATTCATTTGCATAAAAGTATTACACAAATGTAGTGAGATGGTAGGCATTACTGTCGGATTCAACATTATATTA